CAGAAGTGAAACTTTATGTCGGGAATGTCGACATTCTCAGGCAGGCTTTATTAACTGTGATTGCTTTTTCGTTGGGTAGTACAATTAATTCTGACTATTTAGAAAAATAGTCCATAGTAACCATCAGATATTTGTTTTTTGATGTTGTTACTATTATTCTTAAGAACGTTATGCTTAAGAACGCAAATCTAAGTGAAAAAGGAATTAATGTCAATGGAGAAATGCTTAGTCATTTGAGGTTTGCTGACGATATTGTCCTTCTTGCTGACAGTATCGATGATGCAGTATCGCAACTGGAGAAACTATACCTAGCCTCCCTACAAGTTGGATTAAAAATCAACCACACAAAAACACAAATCATGACAAATCTTGTGTTAAGTGAAAAGATTTCAGTAAATGGCATGCATATTGAAGAAACCACGTCTTATAAGTACTTAGGACATGAGATACGCATAGGAAGAGATAATCAAACGTGCGAACTAAGCCGCCGCATAGGACTCACTTGGGTGGCATTCGGCAAGCTGAGCTATTATCTTAAATCAGAACTGCCTATGTGTCTTAAAAGAAAAGTCTTTAATGAGTGCGTGTTGCCAGTACTTACATATGGTGCAGAAACATTAACACTAACCAAGAAAGTAAGAAATAAAATTTGTGTTACCCAAAGAGTCCATGGAACGATCGATGTTAGGCATTTCTCGTAGCCATATTTCTCGTTAGGCCATAGAAAGAATTATGACCCTTAAGTGAAACTGGGCTGGGCACATAGCTAGAATGTCGGATAACAGATGGACACAGCGAATAATACAGTGGAGACCGAGACAAGAAGCACATCGAAGTATTGTCGTCCACCAAGATGGTCTGATGACATAAAACGGATCGACAAAAATTGGATGCAAACAGCACAAAACATAAATACATGGAAAAGACTGAGGGAGACCTATATCCAGCAGTGGATATATCGGGGTTAAATGATGATGATGACTGTTATTCTAAAAGTAGGTCGAAATAGATAAAAGTAAAAGTAAAGATACTCACCGACGGATTAAAGAAACATTGTTTTCCTGCTGTAGTCAATTTCAAGCTTTTATAGTTTGAAGTTTCACTTTAAACCATTTTATATAAATTGCCAATTGAATTCTGTCGGTTGTTCTGTTCGCATCTGTTCAACTACAAATTAACTCTGGAATAATTAATGTGGAAAGCGTATGTGAATTTCGTGAGTAATTGTGTATTTTACTATGTTTACAGATTTTGAAACTGTTCTATTTTGTAAACACTCATCTAAAAGAATAAAGTGTATATAATATAACTTTTTTCAACACAAAATAAAACTTAGTAAAAGCAAAAAGTAGGTATTTGTGTATATTTTTAATTTTTAGTTTAATGATAAACATAATGTTTAATAAACAGAGCTTCGATTTTTAAAGGCAATAATAATGAAAGAAAAAGTGTCTATATAAGCAAAGCTTTTTATTAAAAAAGGCAGAATTCTTAAAATATAAATAACATATAGGAAACATAGGCAATAACTTACTAATTTTTATAGAATGAGAATTAAGTTAATATCAATTTAATCCTTTAAGTGGTAACAATAGCTACCATATAAGTTTAAAGTTTATTTAAATTGAGCGTTACTAACTTCACTTCTTCTGTATCCATGCTATTCTAAGCATCCTCCTGTAACACCACATTTTAAAGGACTGTAACTTATTTATGTGTTCTTGCTTCAATGTCCAGCTTCTCGTAGTAAACACGTAGCATCTCAGTGCTCTTACTCTCAGTTCTAATCTAAGATCTTTGTTGCAGAGAATTATTTTTATTTTTACAAACGCATTTCTTGCTATTTCTATCCCGGCTCTTATTTCGGTTGTTTGATCATTATTGTCTGGAATCCAGGTTCCTAGGAATTTATATTTATCAACCCTTTCTATCGGTACATTTCCCAAATGTATGTTTGTTGGTATATTTGTTTTCTTTGTTATTATCATGTATTTGGTCTTTTTTATATTCATTTTTAGTCCATATTTTACAGTTTCTTTTGTTTAGCAGTAATTGGAGTTGTACGGCAGAGCTTGCCATAATCACGGTGTCTTCTGCATATCTTCTTGTGAGCAAATCTTGAGAACAAGCAATACTGTACTGCAGCCTTTTTAGACTCCTCTCAAGCTTTTGACAAGGTATGGCATACAGGACTTCTGTACAAATTAAAGAAAAATTTACCTTACCCTTACTTTAAACTGCTTCAATCATACCTTACAGAAAGGAGATATCTGGTAAAATATAGTGAAGCCTATACAAAACTCTACCCATCCTATCTGGTGTACCTCAGGGCAGTGTGCTCGGACCTATTCTGTACCTGATATATACGGCTGACTTGCTAATAAGCAATAACCTAACGCATGCAATATTCGCACATGATACTGCTTTCTTGGCCTCTTATAGTAACCCAATAATAGCATCAGAGAGACTGCAACTACATCTGAACAAAACAAATGAATGGTTTAAACTCTGGAGAATTAGAATAAACCCTCAAAATCCACACAAATTACATTCACTCTAAGAAGAGGTACACGTCCACAAGTTAACCTCAACGGACATCCTTTGCCTCAAAAGCATGACGTAATATACTTAGGTATTCACCTTGATAAACGTCTAACTTGGACCAAACATATATGGACGAAAAGGCTTTAATTGGGAATTTTATACAGAAAACTTTACTGGATGTTGGGAAAAAACTCTCACCTATCGATCGACAACAAGCTGCTGGTATACAATACAATAATAAAACCCATTTGGACATATGGCTCGCAACTGTGGGGTTCAGCTAGCAAATCTATATTATGATAATACATGGATTTCAATCCAAAACTCTGAGAACAATCGCTAATGCACCTTGGTATATCCAGAATGATGCAATACATAGAGATCTTCAGGTACTAACAGTCTCAGAAGAGTGCAAAAAATCTTCTGAACAATATCAAAACAGGTTGCGGATGCATCCTAATACCCTGGCACACAATCTTCTCAACAATCAACAAGCGAAGAGATTGAAGCGACATGACCCCTTGGACCTATCGATAACGATCCTGACAGAGCCTACAGCAGTGGGAGTTACGCCTTCAACAGCACCCAGCCATTGTGATCAGTGCCGCTTTTAGTGCTCGCGTATCAGTGTATGTGCGTATCCTACCAGTAAACAAGCCAATTTGTGTCGTGATGATTTGGTCACTGGACCTTACAACTCTCTGTCATGTAAAGACAAAAAATTTTACTTATTGTTTTCACTACAAAACAGATTGTAAAAATCTTAAATGTTAATAAAAAAAATCTGCATATCTTATGTTATTAATAGATCTTCCGTTAACTATTATTCCTTCACTTTGAGATAGTAATGCTTCTTCAAAAATGGCTTCACTATATACATTAAATAGTAATGGGGACATAATACATCCCTGCCTAACTTCTCTCCTGATTTCAATTTCTGGACTGGGTTCGTTATCTATTACGATTTCTGCTCTTTGATTCCAGTAGTAGTTTGTTATTATTCGTATATCCCTGTGATCTATGTTTTTTGTCTTTAGAATTTGGACTAATGTTTCATGTTTTACTTTTTCAAATGCTTTTTCAAAATAAACGTAAGAAACATGCACATCAACATTCATATCCATAAATCTTTGAGCTAACACATTAAAAGCAAATAACGCTTCTCTGATTCCTAGTCCGTTTCTGAAGCCAAACTGATTATCATCTATTCCTTCTTCCAGTTTTTTATTTATACGACCATGTATTATTTTCAGGAATAATTTGAGAATGAGACTTATTAGTGATATTGTTACGAACATGCTTTCAGCATGGCTCATATAACGGTTGCATCTCGAAACTGATTCCAGAATCATCACCAGATCTCTCGAAGGCAAGAGAACAATCAGTCACGTACGCGAATTAGAGGTGGGAACTTTTTAGAACATAGTAACTTTGGTATATATATGTAACGATATTAGGAGTTAGTTTAGTTGATAATATAGTATCGAACTGTAAAGTTATAAATAAATATATTTATATAAATTCTAACCGCTCGTTTTATTTAAAAGCGGTACAATATTTTTCTGTATTCACTGCAATATTTAGCGTTTGTATTTTTAGGGACACTCATTAGGATGTGGTAAATGGAAAACAGAGTGGTTAGGATTAAACTTCAGGTCACTGGTTAAATGATAATGGCTAAATAA